GAGCACTGTGGGTGGAGAGTTGGGAGTTGGGCTTTAAAGAGTCAAAACCCATCCTATAATCTTTGTAAAGTGACTTTTACACACAAAATATTACCAGAATCGAATGTTCTTGAAGGTGTATTTGATGGGGTAAGGATGCAGTGTATTTATAAATCCAGCTTTCTGCTTGAAACACAAAGGTGTGAATAGATACACAAAGTTTGAATGCTTCCTCAGGATTAATGCTTGTCATACACATAAGGATAAAATACTGATTGATCAAACAATGGATCGTTTCAAACAATTGTTCACTCTAAAGCAATTGTTTGACCCAGCAAAGAAAAGATTGATTTGGTTAATCAGCTACAATTAGAAAATGTGATACTTGCTGCTAATTGGAGCTTGGGCTCAGCAGGGGATCGGATCGGATCGGGGTGTCGCATCTCTGCAGAATGGCCACTGCTTCCCTACAGAGAGCATCATGCTGGCAGGGGACAGGCTTTTCTACTTTAAATGTGGGCCTCCAATATCCGGCACGGTGGTGTAGTGGTTAGCACTTCTGCCTTGCAGCACTGAGGGTCCCTGGTTTAAATCCTGGTCAGGATGCCATCTGCAAGGAGTTTGTAAGTGCTTGTGAGAGCTTTCTCCCACATTCCAAAGACATACTGGAAGGTTAATTGGCTCCTGTCTAAATTGGCCCTCTATGTATGCATGTGAGATAGGGACCTTAGATTGTAAGCACCTTGAGGGCAGGGACTGATGAGAATGTGCAGCTGTGTAAATTGCTGGTGCTATATAAATGCCTGTAATAAATAATCTGAGATAGGGGTCTGCTATGGGATTTTAAGGGGACACTGCAGAAAAGAAAAATAGGGTTCCAATGCAAAATAAAGGGGTTCCCCCTTTCATATAAGAGCCTCTTTTATATCAGGTGCCCCCGTCACATTAGGAACCACCTCCTTTCACATCAGAGACATCCCCTCTCACACTAGGAGCCTACTTTTCACCATGGTCCACTATGGAAAGGTATGATGCTGTGTGAACATTTTAGGCACTCCTGAGGAAGTCACAAGGCACCCCATGGTGTCACGGCACCCTGGTTGAGAAAGGCTGATTTGAATACCTTTAAAAGTTAATTTTGCAAACCGGGTTCCCTTTGAATAATTCTGGGAAGGTATGAAGAGGTAAGGGGAATAACTAATCGACAATAGCATTGTATTAATTGAACTGCCTGCAGCATCTGTACACGTCTATCCATCAGCAGTGCTGTGACGTGTATGGTGTCCATAGGGAAACAGTGAATTTATAGCACTTGCTTCTCTTTCTTCTACAAGCCGCTGTCCCCTCCATCCCGCAGCCCTCATACAGATAATGAGATAATATGAAAGGCCTCTCAGCTTACAAGGCGAGCCATTATTTAAAGGGGTAATAGGACGTCAAGGGTTTATTGATTTTACATCACGCAGTCCTTGAATTTGCTGATATGTACATCGGCGCCTTATAAACAGATGGTCGCAACTGTCCTGCACGCAGACAAAAATGATTATCAGCCAATTAGTGCCGACTGCTTCATGTAGCAAAAATATAACGTATTTGCACTTGAAATCGTCATACAAGAAGGTCGGGCAACCTGCGTCTCTCCAGCTGTTCTCCAACAGCAGCTCCCAGCATGCACTGCAGCACAGTTGTAAAACATTTACAAGAAAAAAAGCCGCCGGATTCTCCTGTGGTGTACCTATAATGTAAAAGGGGAATTTTCTTACTAGTGGCAATGGCTGACAATTGTCCCTGATTGGTATGGCTAGTCATGGGTTTAGGTGACTTAATTGGTGGACCTGTTCCTGGAAATGTGTCCACTGATCAGTTTGGTAATAAAGTGTACCTGTAGTGAATGTAAAGATGGTAAAGGGACAGCCTGCGAGACATTGACAATACATTTAAACCTGATAATTTGGTTTATATAGTGGTAAAAATGTAAACTGGTGGGTTTGGACCAAAAATGACACCTTTATTACTGCGTTATCATATGAGGGCCTTATACAGCAGCAAAAGGGACACTTTTAAAGAGAACCGGTCACACCTACATATTGAATAACTATACTATATAGTCAAAGGTTTGTGGGAACCTGACCATCACACCTACTTTAATGGCCAAATGTATGTGGACACCCCTTTAAATGATTCAGTGAATTTGTTACCACTGTAGGGTACGGTATATGATACAACATACAAGGACATTTTAGACAATTGTGCTCTTCCAACCTTGTAGTAATAGTTTGGGGAAGGCCCTTCTCTGCTCCAGCACGACTGTGCCTGAGTGTACAAAGCCAGCTCCATACAGACATGGTTTGATGAGTCTGGTGTGGAGGAACTTGAGTGGCCCTTCACAAAGCCCTGACCTCAACCCTACTGGACACCTTTGGGATGAACTGGAATGATAAATTCGACCATGTCTTTTTAATTTTGTTGTGGAAGAACTCAAATGGCCTTCAAAGAGCCCTGATCTCTACCCAAATGAATACCTTTGCGATGAATTACAATGCCGATTGTGAGTCAGGTCTTTTGACCCAACATCAATACCTGAACTCACAAATGCTCTTCGGGTTGAATGGGCCCAAATGCCCACAATCCAAAATCCACAAATGGCGGGCACTGCACAGATTTGCTTTAAGTCCTCAAGTTTTAAAGATCTTAAATAGATAAATGGCATTTAGTTTGCTAAAGCGCTGTGTATAATAATTGCTTTTTTTTTTTTAAATGCTTGTTTTCACTTTTTTTTCTTATCCTTTGTTACATCTTGGTGCTGCTGATCTCCTGCAGCCTCTCTGCAGGTCTCAAACCCCATAGTGGTACCCTGTGACCTCCAGGGGGAACTTAGTACCACACAGTCTCTGCTTTCAAAGCCCATGAGGCTCTGGACTCCTTGGGATCACAGTGCTAGGAAAGTAGCACCACCCCTATCAGACCAAGTACAGTACTCTGCAGCCAGTCATTTATAACAAAAGGTCAGAAAATCAGCACCTTTCCACACCCTGCATGCTACACATGATATGCAAAACCGCGAGAAGAGGTTTTGTCAAGAGGTGAAGATTGATCATCCAATGGTGACAGATATTCTGATGACAACTGTTTGAAACTGGAATTCCACTCACTTTGAGATTTTCTTTCAATTCCTGTTGTATCCCCAGAAAAGGAAGTAAAGGGAAATCTCCGTGGCAGGACAAAGACATCAAAAATAACTTTTATTTTTACTGTTTTATTATTACTGTTATTTTTTTTTAAGTTTTGGTTAAAATTTTATATTTACAACAGACTTAAAACTGCATGGAATATTGTGTTTCTTTCAGGCAGTGCAAACAAACAAAACAAATGATGGAATCTGAATATTCTGAAGTTCCCCTTGAAGGATCCAAGAGCCTGTACAGAAATGTGGGCAATATGTGATGGTATTAAAGGTATTAAAATTAGGGATGCACCGATACCAAGTACCGTACTCGGTACAAGTACGGATACTTTTTCAGCTCCAGGACTAGACTAGAGAAAAATGCAAAAGTTAGGAGGCAGCTGTCATTTGTAAGGAGCATACGGAGCTCCTGGGATTTCTACATCTCTGTTTTAATGTATGATTTTGTTTTTATAAACATATATAAAGGGATGCACCAATACCAGTTTTTCCAAGTACAATTACTGATACATTTTTGTTTGTTGTCATGCAACGGTTTTTCTAAAACAATACAGACTAATGATTTCAGGACAGTGGTGGAGCGCTGAAAAATGCCAAGTATCGGCACTAGTATCTGAACTGGTATTGGTGCATCCCTAATTCAAATATAACACAAATGTTACATTCAAAGACAGGAACCCTTTGCAAAAGTTCTAAGGAATCAAGGAACCTAAAATATAAGCAACAAGATAATGCAGCTTACAGTTTAAATAAATGTTCTAATTTTATTGGAGATAAAGGTCCCGATACCAGGGAAACCTATTCTGCAAAGTGCCGCCAAAGTCTCCTGCAGTAAGCCTTTGATCAGCCTGGAATGGCTGCTTACAAAAGAGACCTGGCTACATTCAAGTACATAGCAAAACAAATACAGATGCATGCGTGTAAAGGTTATAGGGGTAGTGGCCCTTTCATTTTGTCCTCGACCACAAACACGAATAAAACAGCAGTTCAATGCCAAATAAATGTATTTAGCTGCCGTTACATTTCTAAAAGGGCCACTCTTTTTTTCCAAAGGTGAACCCGTGTCTCTTTGTCCTCCCTGTAGTTAATAAACGGGTCCCGACCTTCCACTAGCCTACAAAAGCCCCCAAAAACTCCCTATCCAGCTTGCCCCCCAATCAGTTCTAAGAGATTATCAAAAGATTTCATTTTTGGAAAGAACAAGGAATAGTAAATAGTAAAACCTCTGTCAGTGCCATCTTTATCCCACTGGGGATATTTCGCTTTACTTCTTGTCCTGTAGACTCAACAGGAAGTGAGAGAAAATCTCTCCAAAGTGAGGAGAAATCTTCTTTTAGAAAGCTGTTACAGGAACAAGTGTCCCCATTGAAAGATTCCCCCTCCATTTCTAATGATAATGATCACCAGGACAAATAGAGACACTGAATCTACCTGGTAGGGACACGTGCAGTAAAAAAAAAAATCATTCAGGGGTTTTAACTCCTCATCATGCTATCCAAAACTAAAAAAAAAAGGTTTTGGCTTTGGATACACTTTGACTAGAGTAAACTGGAATACTTGGTTGCCATGAGTTACTGCATCTTGCACCTTGTGCTTGCTCTTTGTAGAACCTTATTAAATAAGCACACCACGGTATCTCAACATGCATGCCACTTCCAGTTTCCATCTGCAAAGCAATGAAAGCCTGGAAGCGATGGCACGCTGTTCCAGAGAATCTGGGAGGTACGTAGGTTGTTGGGTCTACTCCAAGCACGGAAGGGTCCCTGGCAAGGGTCCACACGTGGAGCACTCCACTACTGTCAAAGGCTGTACTACATCAGGTGACGGCGTGACCCACCTTTTTGCAGCTTATTGGAGTTTTCATCAATCCAAAAAAAGAGGTTGGCAAACTCGCAGTCACATAGCCAAGGGTTCCCCTCCAGGCGCACCGTCCGGAGGGATGGAAGCGATTCCAGCACGGCCACGCTGATACTTTGAAAATTATTGTCATTGAGTTCCAGCACTTGGAGAGCGTCCAAGTTCTCAAAGGCATCTTCGTGCACCTCCGAGAGATTATTGTTCCCCAGGCTCAACTTGATGAGCCTGTCGGCCGATTTGAAAATCCCGGCTTCCAGCTGCGTCAGGTTGTTGTAACTTAAATCCAGGAACACCAGCCGTGTGGATGTACTGAAGGTGCCCTCTTCCAGCGAGGTCAACGAGTTGTTCCGCAGATCCAGGTAGACCAGGTCGGCGTAGAACAAGAACAGGTCCGCTGGGATGGACTGGATGTGGTTGTTGGCGGCCAGAAGTTTCCGTATGTCCAGGGGAAATAGATTGGGAAGGCTGGGAAGTCCTTGATCCCTGCAGTCTATGGTGTGATAGTCCAAGCATATGCAAACAGAAGGGCAAAGAAGACTTAGAGGTAACATGATCAAGAGGCAAACGCAGAAGAGAGGTGAGATATAGCAGAGGAAGCATGGCAGCATTGTAAAGGATTTAAAGCAGTGGAAGGGTACTACGAGAGAGACATTGTGCTCAGCTGCAATGCCCGGTACTTGTGTGTGTGAATGTATCCTAGAGATCACATAACATCACAGATCAGATAGCAGCAGACTTGGGGGAGGGGGAACCAAACAGGGAATGTTCTTTGCTTGGAATAAAATAGCTCCAGTATTGTCAGTAGGGTTCCGCTGCTTACCAAGTCTGCCTTCTCCTGGCACGTTTCTGCTTCTGGATGTAAAAGGAAGGTGGAGAAAAATCAATTAAATTAACAATGCATCCTTCTCCAGCCTACAGGAGGCAGGACCCGGTCCATCCTAGGCACCTGTGGATAATGAGCAGCTGCAAGTACATCACAGCCGGTGAAATGGAACAGCATTGTTTTCATACAACATGAGATTTTGTATATAATAATTACCTTAAAATGTACAATAATAATAAATAATGTATAATAATAAATGTGTAATAATAAAAATAATAATAATAATAAAAAACATATTCAGTACATATCTACACTACATCCACGTCTCCCTGTGTTTTGTCTCTTAAAAAAGAAAAATGTAGAAAAATTAATAAAATAAAATACCTGTTGATGCTGCTAGAAATCCAGTGAGCTTGTAAATCCATGTGCCTTCCTCTGCCTGTTTTGCACTGACATTTCAAGCACTGCCTGGTTCTCCTCTGTGGACTATAGAACACGTTCTTATTATATTATGGAGATGAGGAGATGATGAGGTGTTTTGTAGTGCAACATGGGAGCAAGCAGTGCAGGGTGACCACACTGCTAAACAGATACAGTACCTAGTTGCCACTCTATGATAAGTAGTGTGTTACAAGCAGGATCACCTGGTGAACAATAAGGGAATATGACTGAACAGAAAGAAAGCTAATACAGCCACCACATCTAGGGACTGGTAAGCTGCAATAAATTACACTTTTGTTCTGGGGTTTCTACATACTAAGTTATGTCCACTTTAAAAACATTTATTGCATATCTTATCTATCTAATTATTTCTATATTATGGTCAGGGATAAAAAAAAATAAAACATATTTTATATATGTAAGAAATATACAAATGTATTTGATTTAGATACAATTTATTTATATAAATAAAATGCATTTTATTTATATAAAAAATATATATGATATTATTTTTTCATAATCAGGTTAAAATAAACATTTACATAGTAATATTTTGTATTTTTATATCCAGCCAACAGGTAGAGCCCTTGCCTCCTTTTCACATGCTTACCTGTTTATTCCTATCCACTTTGATGGTAGAAGTCTGTTATTTACAAAGCTCAATAGCTCAAACTGTAACTTACAGGCAATTTACAGTAAATGGGTCCAAATAGGGATGTTCAGATACCAGTTCAGATATCAGTGCCGATACTTGGCATTTTCACGAGAACTACCAGCGGTTGTACCGATTGCTGGGACCTGGCTCTGGCACTCCACCACTGTCCTGAAATCATTAGTCTGTATTGTTTTAGAAAAACTGTCACATGACCATAAACAAAAATGTATCAGTACTTGTATCTGTGAAGACTTGGACAAGTATCAGTACTTGAAAAATGGTATCAGTGCATCCCTTATATATATTTATTTAAAAAAATCATACATTAAAACAGGGATGTACAAATCCCAGGAGCTCCGTGTGCTCCTTACAAATGACAGCTGCCTCCTAACTTTTGAATTTTTCTCTAGTCTAGTCTTGGAGCTGGAAAAGTATAGGTACTTGTACTTGTACACAGCACGGTACTTGGTATCTGAACATCCCTAGGTCCAAGCCCAACTCCTCCCCTCCCTCTGAACAGCAACATTCATTAAATTCAATTAGAGACAGAGTGACTGAAAGAAAACAGTTCCTGCTGTGCTCTTTCTATAGGGAACCAATGATGATTTGTGGCAACAGTGTCATGACGGGATTTGTATTAAATGCCTATTTGTAAAACAAATATTTGAAATCAAATAGTAAAAATATTATTATAAAAGTTTAAAAGGTATACACTTTATAAAAATAATACAAGTGCCCCAAAACCATTATAGTTAGCCTTCAGAACATTCAGTGGGTATTGTGGGAAGGGGGATAGTAATTGCTAAGTGCCCAGCTGTCTCTGTGTTTAACACTTTCTGAGCATGTATACAGAAAAAAGCTTTTCGGGGTAAGGCCCCTTCTTCAAGGCTAATGGCTTGGGAATGTGGGTTAGTCCATGGTGGATTTCTGGAGCCTGGTGTCATTCCTCGATTAAGGCTAAGCTTGTACTCCATCAATCCTAGGCCATATGGACATGTTGTGGAAATTTTATTAGGATGTGTTTTTAGTAAATTGTAATATTGTCATCATGTCTATGTGTCCGTATTTCGGCGTCACGCTCGATTGTAGCGTGAACCCGAATTAAATCAGCGCTGAGGGTAAACCATTGGAGTAGATATCTTCCTGTGGATGTGCGAATAATGGCGGAGCAGTGTTTTCTTAGCAAATGTGTGGACGCCAGCAAGGGCCCCTGCGTGGTGCACAGATTTATTGGCTTGGCGTGTATGCACTTGCTTTGATGACATAGTATTATTTAAGATACATATCTGCCTTTTTGAAAGGAACGTGCGTTCGTATTTCTGATGCGTCTGATCAGCACGCTGGAAATAGTATGGCATTGTCCCTGCAGATAAGCTCACATCCATGAGAATCATAGTAACTTTATTGGGCATTGGTCACTGAGCAATGCTGGATAAAGTTAGCTCCAGTGTTAATGGGAGATTGTGTTTGTGGGTCTGGAAAGATGGTGGCTAGGAAAACATGCGGCTGTGCACACGGGTTTAATTCTGTGCACACGGGTTTATGGGCTATGCACACCGCTTCTACTATGATACAGACATGCACTCCCTTTTCTATTGTATACATGTGTTTTGTTGGCTGGCTATGATATGTTGGTGTATTGAGGAAGTGATGTTGGTTGTTGACATCACTTCCTGTTTGACATCACTTCCTGTTTGACATCACTTCAATAAATGGAGCTGTGGTGGAGGGGACAGGCACTTGGAACAGAACTCCACCATGAAAGCATCACCTTTTCTTGACTCTGCATGAGTGTTGCCTTTCCTTGCACAAGAGAGCTTAATGCAACACTGCTTTTAAGCACGGCGAAATTCTTTGTGTTTGGCGCACTTTTAGTGCGGCATGGATTTGTGCGTTTTGCCCAAGCGAATTCCCACGACAGATAGCAGCGGCTCTGTTTTGCAGAGGAAGAGGTCAGGAGAGCCCATAATTCACACTGAGTCATGTGACTTCCTTAAACTATGTGTCCTGCCAAAAGCTGCTTAAATAAATGTTAGTAAGGAGTACAACGGTACAATTAAAAGGACTGATGGAGCGAATGTGCATTTAAATGTAACTATTACTATCCATGTAGTATCAATGTTTAAATTTATATGCTCATTCCCTCCAGTGGTCTCTTGGATTGTAAAATTGTACATGCTAGATATATTGATACAATTACAATTATTTATATAGCGCCAACATATTCCTCAGCGCTGTACAATCATTTAGACAAGACAAGTAAGACACACTGACAACCATCAGTGATATACAGAAACAGTAGGTGAGGAGGACCCTGCCCGGATGAGCTTACAGGCTAAGGGTCCATTCACATATAGAGTTGGCGTTTCCTGCACGGAAGACCGTGCGGAAGGAAAACGCAAACATTTTGAATAAGCACGGATGCCGCTCATTTGCGGCTATAAAATAGCCGCAAACATGTGGAATCCGCCAGATTATTACACTTGTACTGTTTTGGGGGCCCAGCAATAGTCTGAACTATACACATAAAAGTGCATTGTTTTCTCTGTTTATATCGGCTCCGTGCGTATACGTACAGCCGAATACACGCGGACAGCTGCTCCAGTGTGAATGGAGCCTGAGAGGAAACAAAGTTGCACTTCAAGAAACTGCTGGAAGGAATGCTCATATAAATGTAACTTTTACTATCCCCGTAGTATTAATGGTTACAGTTATATGCTCTTTCCTTGCAGCGGTCTCTTGGATTGTAACATTGTACTTGTTATTTAGGAGATACAATGCTACAATTCAAGAGACCGCTGGAAGGAATGCTCAAATAAATGTAACTATTAATACCCCCGTAGTATCAATGGTTACATTTATATGCTTATTCCCTCTTGGATTGTAACATTGTATCTCCTTTCTAACAGGTATTTATATCCTATGCTCCTCAGCTCCATCTACTGACCATAATGCTGTATTTTCCCCATTCCTCTGTCCTTTATACCTATTGAAGAACATTTGACCAGAAGAAAAATTACACTTAGGCTCATTAACGCAAGAAAAGGCCGGCCCTACAGCTCAGTGCTGGGTGCAGGGCCGTATCGTGCAGCTCTCGGGAAGGACAGGTGCTGCGTGTGATTTCTTCTGTTTGCTTGATGAAGGAACCGCTGGGTTCCGAAACGTTGCACTAAGATGTCATACCACTTCAGCCAATAAATGAATTGACTGGACATCGAATTGGAGTGCGAGTGGCTTTCTCTTTGGCTGTTCGTTGTCTGCAGAGGCATCTGCTGCTACTCTGGCACCCGCCCTTGTACATTGGGGGTTTTCTCCGGTTAGGTGTGAGATGGGACTAATCAACTGCATGTGATTTGTACGCAGCCCCTGTCCTTCTCTATGGGAGTGCGCAGCCGTACGCCCCCCTACGCTCACCCCAAGTGCAGGACCGTACGGGTGCGGGTGTCCAGGGTTGGACACAGACAGGATCCCTCCTGTCAGCGTACAAGTACGGACAGCCGCACCCGCACCGACGAGCGAGGCGGGTGAATGTAGGGCGGCGTACGGCCGGCTACTCTCATAGAGAAGGACAGGGGCCGCGTACTAATCACATGCAGCACCTGTCCTTCCTGGGAGCTGCCCGATACGGCCGTGCATGCAGCACGGAGCTGTACGTGCCGGTCTTTTCTTGTGTGAATGAGGCCTAAGAACATTAGTTTTTGCCCCATTCTCACAACAGCTGGTTAATTTGCACTGAACGTATGTACCTGCAGTTTTGCTGAGT